ACTGCAGCGCAATGTATGCACTTCAAACATCGCGAAGAAGCTCTTGTTTCCGTTCGTGTTTATGGTGAATTGTGGAAGACAGTGCCTCTCGACCAGTCACCCAAGTATTTTTCTTTGTAGGGCGCCTCAGCTGCAAGGGTGATTTGGGCCAACTAGAGTGCATGTAAACGAGTAATAATAATAAAAAAAAACTCGGTTATGAAATATATTTAATTACTTACGTTTGGAAAGGGTAATCCTTAAGCATTCCACTTCCTCTTTTATTTTTTATTTCCTGTCAAATTAGTAAAAATACGAAAAAACAATAGCGAGTAAACACGCACTATTAACCGGCAAGAGCGCGGGGCTTCAGCATACTTTACGTCCAACTCAACATAAAAACCAAGGAAAAAAAACGAACTTCGACACTCAACAGGCGCCGGTGGTTGCCGAGGTACCGGCGAATAGGCGAGCGTTTCTTTTTTTCTCATTTCCACACGGGACCAAGCAGTCTGACGTGATTGTTTACATTCGAGATTAGAACAAATTTGACATTTGTTCTAAACCATTTGTTTAGAACAAATCTGACAAAAAGAGCTCTGCTACGAGTGAGCGCACCAAAACAGGCACTGTTTTGAAATAAAACTAAAACGAGTTTGAGGAAAAAAGAACATATCTGGAGACTTAACGCCGTTCCACCTTTGTGTCAGTTGGTGCATTGGCTTGGCGCGCTCCGGAGGAAGGTCGTTTCATGCGTGCTTTTAACGTCCTTTTACCTATTTTGTCTTGTGTTATATATGAGTCGTGAACTGGGTTGCAAATTATGCATATGTAACTCGATTATTTAGGCCTTATATGTCTCATCGTTCAGTCGACTGAGGGAAAACGCGACGGCGACACGAGAGGTAGGGAAAATTTCACGTGACCACTCAGTGGATGACTAAGCGAATTAGGAGGATAACGCAGCACATTGGAATGAATGACTCAGCACATTGAGAAGGATGTCTCAGCACATTAAGAAGGACGACTTAACACATTAAGAGGGATGACTCAGCCAGTAAATCATACGTCTTTCTTTAATCTATCCGCCCTTGGGCTTTCACCTACAAGTCAGCTTAGGGATAGCACAGAGACCCTATGCATTTTCAATCGTGAGTATACTCACTTTGAAAAAGCTTTCTGACGAGAAGCTTGCAGTGTTTGAGCAACTGTTTCAGCGCGTTTCTGGGACCCAAAGTTTACGATGCAACTCCAGTTTGCCTGATTTGTTTTGAAGCACCAAACTCATGGCTTACTAATAATAAAGATAATATATTTTTCTTTTAGTCTTTTTCTTCGTGTAGTAGTTCTGTGCTTAGTAACGTTTGACCTGCATATCCGCTTGAATGTAAATATCCATTAGATAATCTGCTTAACGTTGTAAGCGGGCATGTTGAAGTTTGCGTGGTGATAGCGAGTTTTCGCAGTGTTCTTTTGTCACACATGTTCTCTTGGTTTTTCCTCGCGACAAGCTTTAATGCACGAAAGGCGATATGATCATGTTTAATTTATGATTCCTTAGAAGCCCTTCTGCGCAGGCATTACGTAAGGGGAATGTGAGGTACCATGTTTGTTTAAGCCTTCATGCAAGCGGAAAATGGTTGCGGCTTTCTAGCCGTTGACAGAGTCACATGATCACTGCGGAATACTCCCAAACATGTCAGAAAAAGTGGCGATCCGGAAAAGTTAAATACCCATTTGACTATATTTGCAGTGTTCTTCCGTGTATCCCCGACAATGTAGAAAGTCTTCCGACGATAATATAAAATACCTTGTTTTTACTGTTTCATCCTATTCACTGAACGCAGTACAAGGATTGCTCGGCAAATAAGCCATCTATTTTTTTTGTTCTCAGTTAGGCGAAATAGATGTGACTTTTGGGGGTCGATGCAACGTCCAGTCAAGGGCGAAGCACGTAAAGGTTTCTAAAGAAAGAATCCAACATGAGTTATTGAATAGTAACATACGTTAAACTTAATTTGCGTCGAGTACCCATTACACCATAGCTATAGCAAGAGACAGAACTACTAACAACCATAAGAAAGGAGGGAGTTACTTACGAGGTAACTCCTTTAGTTATTATGGCTGCACAAATGTAATTAGTATTTCTTAGTTAACGAAATCCCGTTTGCATAAAAGAAAAGTTTTCATGGTCTTGGCTTTGAGTTCACCAAAGTGCTTTATATTGGCTAGAAAACAAAACTGACTCTCAAAATTATTGACTTACAACTCACCCTATTTGCTTCGGAAGATATCTCCAGTCTGGCAATAAGGGCGGCCACCAAACGAGGCAGTGGATGGGATGGCCACGTTGTACATGAAAACCACGGTGCGCAGTGTTGATTATTTTAAGGCGTACATCAACGATGGGCCTTTCCTAGTTTGAAGTATCATTCTGAGCTTGGGATTGGAGCAGAGTATTTGCTTGTTTGTTGTTGATTTTCATACCAAATGTGGGAGGAGTTCCTAAAATATCTCCAACCCTTCTAATCCTCAGACATCCTTGGTTCTTGTAAGAAAGGGCAACGCTTAGAGGTAAGAGGTATCCCCGTGCAGGCACCGGCTTATTTTCTTCTGTTTTGCTCCTTTTCCCGCCACCACCCAATTTGTTAACAGCGGATCTCTTAAGGGATAGATTGTTCAGTAGCGTGTCTGTCAGCAAACAAATGATGACACGAAACTCTGGACAGCTACCACCATCTACAGGCGACGACGACAACCAGACCACCGGCTTGCCAGTTGTCTGGTTACTGCTATCGCTCATAGATGGTAATAGCTGTCCAGCCTTTCCACTCTGGCTTGCTGACTTGCGGCAGGCCATTACTCCATTCTTATTACAGTACAACTTCGCTCGTCTTCCTTCTCCAGAGTGGGAAGGCTGAAAGTTTCATAAAATATGCGTCTTTAAAAAAAGCCAACGCATTATGTATTTGCTTGCGTTTTGCACACAGGTTTATAAAAACGTAAAACTCAACTAGGAAAACAAAAGAAAAAAACTATGACCAGCCTGAACGCGGAAGGTGCATTTTGGTGCCTTCTTTGAACGAGGATGTGCGTGGGTAATGTGCGAGAGTTTCTACAATTGAAGGGCGGGGAGGGGAGGAGCGTTTTTGTTCAAATAGCCAAAGTATAATTACTGTGAGATCTGAGCGACACAAAAAAGCCTAATCCGGCGGAAACTCCAAAGCTCAACAACCCTATAGTCGGTGACAGTTTAACAGTTCAGTGAAGCTCATCCTGCACCTTTAGCCTCTAACAGAGCGATCGCTGGAGAGGAGGTGGCCTTCTTTCTATCATTCGCCCTGCAAAAGTGGAAAGGGGTGGGAGGAGCTTCCTCTGACCCTTTAGCTGTCACAGATTATCATATATTTCCTTGAAACACTCGGCACCAGTGAAAAGGGAACCTTTTTCGAGCCCACTCAGGGGGTTTGAGGCTGGGCTCTCATCGGCGTCTTTAATAACCCTAACCGAGTGGACTGTTAATATGGATTGGGGCAGCCTGCGTGAGCGCAATTTCAGACTCAGATTGCTACTTAATTATCGTCTGTTCCGCTGTATTAGCGTTTTATGATGTATGGATTGCACCACATTTAAAACTTAGGTAAACGGTAAACTATTTTGAGGGTACATGAGTGGGAGGGCGAATGCGACTGGAAGGCTTTAGTCGGTGATAAGTTTTTGTCAATCCACGAAGCGCTTAGCTCTTTAAATAATTTAGAACAAAATATAGCCGAAAGGCGTGTATATTTAACGATCACAATTAACGCGATTACAAATCTACGCTAACGCACTTGAACATTAATATAGCCAATTTCAACATTCTACGAATATATTGTGTGTACTACATGATGCAACAGTATCGACCACACTCACATCTCTACAACGAGAACAAACTCAAGAGGACCTTGTTTCGTCCTATGTTTTGGGGAGAGCTTCCTTTTTTTTCACAAAACAAGCACCACGGTAAAGAAACGGGCACAATTCGTTCGTTTCTGACCCCAACCCGAACAGCTATATTTAGTGCTGACTGAGAATGTCTCTGCGCGGATTATCTCTGAGGGTGCGGACAGCGGTTGTCATTATAGGCAAAACCACGTCGAACGGCCGTTGCACATTCTTCCTTTTGTTTGCCTTTAATGAAAAGAAGAGACGCTTGAGGGGCGTGCACTTAACAGCCTTATTTCTCACAGTGGAAGATAACATGAAAAGGGTACAAATAATACACAATTAAAATTAAGTGGACACTTTTAAGAGAGTGGAAAACGTGGAATGCTAAAGTGCAAAACACAGACGTAAACTCACCCTGAGCAGGTTCCAACGTTCCAAGAGATTGGCCGAAACTTTCTAGTTGATAGGAGGAGCGAGAGTGGCACCAGCTGCATCATCACCAACAATATGGCGGCGGCCTAAGAGCGTTTTTTGGAAAGGTGTATGGGTGATGCTTTGGGGTTTCTTCCCTTTCTGCTCCTTTTCTCTAATCCCAAATGGGTAGGTGCGGCGCCGAAAAGATTCTTTCTGTGATGAGTCAGCACCACTTGAAAACCCCCGAAACACACCTTCACCTTCGTATGGGGTTGCAACTTACATTGAGGGCAACTCCGCCCGGTTGCAACAAGGCGAAGACAAAGAAGCGCGAAAATATATATTTCTTCTGAATGTTTTCTATTTAGTGGCCTCTCTTATTTAACGAAAAACCAACGGGAATGTAGTTATCTGATCTTATTTGGTTCGAAAACGTTTTTGACGGGCGAACTTAACTCTAGATTTAAAAAAAAAATTATCGGTGTAGTTTGAGTGGGAGTTACTCGAAAAAAGCGTTTAAAGTGAACTACTGCTTGCCAAAATAAACATAGTTGAAATTAACTAAATTATTCAAAACCACGTTAACTTCAGTAGGGAAGGTGACTGAAGGAAAACTCTGGCGCATAAAGTCCCTCATGATAAGGTGGCTATAAAATATATGACGGTTTCCATCTCTGCAGGTGAAGGTTGTTGACGCCGAAGGCAGGATCGTTCCCGTGAACACAACGGGAGAGCTGTGTACCCGAGGCCCCCACGTCTTTAGGGGCTATCTCAACGATGACGCCAAGACAAGTGAAGCTATCCGAGACAACTGGTATCACACGGGGTAGGAAAGGCAGCAACGTCGGTCGGATGGCGAGAGCTAGAATGAAAGCGTTGGCAACACAGAACAGAAAATACGGATAGTTCCCACGGCGCAGCTCCCAGACACCGACTGCTAAAGGAGATGTTGCGAATCGACAAAGCGAACCGACAAAGACTGAACGGAGAATGTATATTTATTCCTGAACAAGACTTAGCAGGACGCTGAAGGCTGTGTGAAACTGCGCAACGTTGTAGTTTATCCGCAATGTTTTCTTAATCAATATTTCCTTGAATTAAAAATAAATCAAGGCGCCATTAAAATAAAATAATGGTGCCCTCTTGGAAACTAACTGGTATCACACGATAAGTTAAAATGCATGTGACACTTTCATACCTAGGTGCAAATATTCAATTATAACAGTACAAGCATGTGCTCTTCTCGTTGGTCGGACAGAGAAGGCTAGCAATATTGATTTAAGATCTACCATACCGGAAAACCTATAGCGCAGCCAAGATTTCTGCATGTGTAAGTGTAGACGAGCATAGGGTTACAGTGGCTTTGCCCTGTAGAATATATTTTAGCATTTCGATATAGTATTGTGAATTTTTATGTCAAAAGTTAAGATATATTAAACGGTTTTGTTGCCATTATATATTGGGACGCACAAAGGTTCAAACGCAGGAACAATCCATTCTGTGCACCACAGCGCTCTCATTACAATAAGTTTTTTTTTTTATGAAGTATTTACAAAATATATTCCAAACATAACGTTTCCGTATAACTGTAATATATATTCAACATTTAGGGTTACATATAATTGGCTCGGTTCAAAAATAACTAGTTTTCAAAAAATGGCTTTGTTTTCCATGTGTTCCTGGTAACCTCCGTTGGTTTCTAATACAGTCATTAGTTTACGGAATGCCATTTTGGCATCGTCTTGTCATAGATATACTTTTAATAAAAATATAAATGATTGGCCCCTGAAATGCTCTTGTGCTTTCAGAACAATACACTTTTTCATAGATAATTGTTTCATAGTTCATCATTTCATTACTTCCTCCAGAAACTCGTGTTTAAAAGTTTTGTTGTAGCCCGATTCCTGGATGATCCTATCTTATACAAACTAGTGTCTATGGTACGTGCACGCCGCTGTTCGCTAGCTCGTTCTGTTTCTTTTGGTAATATTTTTTTTAGGTAGAGTTATATATATGCTGAAGAGATGGTGGTATATTTATGGTAAACAATTCGCTGCGGCAGCTAAAATTGGGTATCCCACATCGTAGCACCTCCTTTTATATGCTTTCCTTTCCCTGCACCCAGAGCGCCAGGACTGAATTGGCGCTTCCGCACGTATTGGTTCTTCTACCCGACTTTTTAGGAAACTTAGAGTCATTGATTCTGAAGCAAATGCAGAAATAAGAAATATAAGTTCTCAAGTGCGTGGATAAAAAACGTTTACCACGAAATAATATATCCCCTAAAAACAATTTTAGAGCAATATTTACGTTGCGAAACTAATTTGTGTGATTTCCAAATGCGTTTTTATTTCGCAGCTGATGACTAGAATGAGAAGCGCATTCTAAAACGCTTCTTATTCAAAATATGCCAGGAGGTGTAACTACTGTTCTAAAATATTGCATTTCAGGGGAAATATTCTTAGTTACCTATGGGCCTCAACCTTTTCCTTAAAAGTAAATGTTAGGATCTCGAGTGTTTGTTTCGACATCGCATTTTGTGCTTTTGATCGATGTTATTTTGTTAAATTCGGTTGAATAGACGAAATGTTATCTGTAATGCCCTCGAGACTCCATTAAAGTTGAAATAGATTGAAATGGAATTTCTGTGCTCAAATATTTGCTTTCCTCATTGAGCACCCGTTCGCAGGGACGAGGGAACAATGGACGAGGACGGTAGGCTTACTTTTGTGGGCCGCGTCAAAGAAATGATCAACTTCACGGGTCTAAAAGTGGCGCCACTGGAGATCGAGAATGTCCTGAACTCGCACCCTGACGTGGAGGAGGCGCAGGTATGTTTCCAAATGTACGGTAGACGGTGCGAGACGTCTATGCGTAGACCCATTACTTGCAGAGACTGTATTCTGACCGTGCCGCCTCGACTCATTTTCCTGCGTTCAAAGCAAGCCGATAGTATTTTCGGTTACACTAACTTGCTCTTTCTAGTTAAATTAATTCGAAAAATAACGTCACGTTTCCCGAGGTTTTATTTTCACCAGTGACAAGAAACCATGCTTCTGCACTTTCTCTATCTGGAAGGAACACATTTAATGCATACCCACCAGATTCTACTATGTTCGTCAAAAGGTCCCGGTTACCTGCTGCTCAATATGGCGACGACGTTCGGAATATTGGAAAGGTCAACACCGTGGCGGGCACATTGCAGTATCGAAAACGCAATATTATGAGGAACAAAAACAACAAGAACGAACTACGTTGATTTTAAGAATCAAGGGTAACAGAGTTTTCGATATATCAACATAACATTCTACGGAGACATGATAAATATATTTTTGTCATGCATGGCACATATAAACGGTGTTAGAAATTCACTGTGATATAATAGGTTTTTACTATTTTTTAAAACATGTAGAGCGTGCTATGTTTTTGGAGTGTTGACTATCTCTGTGTGAAGGTAGCAATTTGGGCCAGTTGGTTGACGATCACTTAAAGAAGCGCAAAATATACAAGGACGAGGAAGTAAACAGACAAGAGCGCTCTTGTCTGTTTACTTCCTCGTCCTTGTATCTTTTGCGCCTCTTTAAAAGTATCTGTGTGTGTTTCTATATGACAAAACAGATTTGGGTAATTTAGCATTAGAGTTGTTTATATTCGTCCAACATTTCCTTTAATATAATGCGAGTTTATAAGCGTGTACCGTAGGTTATAGGTGCTAAAATGTAATTCTGCACACTTTATTTGAATCAAACAAATTATTTAAGTAAGTGAACATGCCTAATGGGTGGTGCTTAGTGTTTCTCAAATGGTGGTGCTGTATGCTGGACGTAACCTAAGTTGTCTATAAACCTAACGCCCTTCTTTTGTAAAAGGAAGAATTCTTTTATCTTCCCATAATTTTTCCCCAAAGTGGGAAACATGTTTCTACAGGGATTATACGATATAGACAATGCAAATTAAGACGCTTTGGTAACAGATGAATTGCTTTGATCAGGAATTCAATTTAGGACGACATATATTATCCAAATGATATCTGCATGATTGCTTGAGCTTATTATTTCCGCAAACCAGGCTACTAGAAATTTGTGTGGCACAGTGCATTCTGTTCTTGAATTTAAGAACTATATATATAGTTTATGTGGCAGTTATTTGTCTCAAGAATATATATTTTGTTTTGTTTGTGTTCAACTCAATTTGATTAAAATACAGCCGTGATGATAATTTACTAAGCCAGTTGTACAGAACATGTTTAACTTACTTATATTGGGTTCCTCTAAAACAAAAGGTATGTAATCAGCATAAAAAAATATTGTCGGGAATAATTGGTGCATTAGCTAAGTCGTTGATATAAAAAAGGGCAATCGTCCTTGGATTTTACTTTGCAGAACACTAAAGTGTATTTAAGCAGTTTCTGACTTGCAAATATTGATAATAGTACATTCTTTTCTGGTTGATAATGATTTTTATTAGGTTGAAGTATATTCCTCATATCCCGTGCCCTTTTAGTTTCATATAAAAAAAAAAGATATTACGGCTAATGAAGTCAATGGCGTTCTGAAACTATATTAATATTCAGAGTGTAGGAAATCGGGACAATACACGTTGTTCATTCCTCATGGGAAACAGAGATGATTTTGTAAATTTCCCATGTTGCATTTCATACTCACAGGGCGTCATAGTGGCACTGTCCAAAATGCTTAGAGCTGCCTTGTCTAAAATATTTCTCAGTATTTTTACAAATAATGGTGGTACTAACATAGGTGTGCAGTTTTTGATATTGTTTAGTGTGTCCCCTTTCTGTATAACAAAAAACCTCGTTTATTCTTCAAGTTATGAGAGAATATATAAGTTTCAATAATTATCTTACATACGTAACGCCATACATATTTAGGGAAAATAAAACTGAGTATAATAGTACCTAAAACAACATATAGACCGGCGAGGCCTCTGCTCCAGTATCACGAGCGAAAGTGCGTGCGTGAGTCAACTTCGTGCTCTCGTTGGGGTCGCGCCGCGCGCCTGGGAGCCTCGTAGACTTTGGGTAGGCGACGCCATCTCGCCTACCCACGCGCAAAAGGAAAACATACCAGGTGTTCTACTGCAGTAACAAGGGCTACCGTTTGCCCATCATAACCACGTTCAGGCGGAACTGCTCCTTAATGGTGGAAGCATATTGTGGAGTTCTGGCGTATTTGTGGCCGTTGAATTGAGAGCGTCGAGTATATTGTAAAATGTTTGGTAGCTAGTGTTATTTAATATTAAGGGAATACTAGCAGCCACCACCATAAAATACTGTTGAAATTTTCAGCCAACGACTTGTGGGTATAGGTCTAACCGTTTCTTATGAGTTAAACCGGGATTGACTGAAACTTAGTATTTCCCAGCGTTCGCTGATATTTTATTGTTTTTGCATAGAAGTAAAATTGTTTTGTGATATCTAACCTATGATTTCCTTATATATGCCGCCAGCTTATTGCGTCGAATTTTACGCTCGTTAATGAGTACCACCTTTGCGCCTCCGAGGCAAAGAGCCGGCCTACAGAGCTCCCGGTGCTGGGTTCGAATCCCGGACGAGGTGCCTGCGGTCTGAGGGATGCTTATTACGGGGAAGGGTGCTGCTTTAACAAAGCTTTCGGGTGCAGGTCAGAAAATCCACAGGTGGTCTAAATTAAGCATCGGTCTTCCGTTAGAGCGTGCCAGATGCGCTTCGTTGAAATCGGCAAAGTTTATTTGATATTCTACTTAGTGTTGATATCCCTGTTTTTTATATTCTGTTCAATAGTTTTGGTAATTATTTTTCGTGTGTGTCTATAAAATACTCAAAGGTATCTTTAAGTTTCTCTGCCCTTTATTTTAAACCAGAGGAAGAGCTCAGTCATAATTTTCGCGTATCTTGAGCACATTAATCGTGCGTCGTTTTGTGAGGGTGTGTCTCGCTTATTCTCCGAGTTGTCATTTAAAACGAGTGCGTGAAAGGGTTATACATTTTTGGTATTGGTGAGCCAATAGTCTTTTGGTCATGCGCACTATATTTTATATTCCTCAATGGCTCATATAGAACAAAACACACTATAAAATTAAGCACCCATATCATCAGTGAGTAATCCAGTACTTGCACCATGAATTTCTCGATTGGTAATACAATGATCATTAAAAATGTCAGTATGTTTTGTCATTCTAGTAAGCATATTGCCGCAGGCGCAGCTGGCCAAGCAGTCAGCATGGCCGTGGCCGTCAGGTTATCGTGCTGGGCTCCCACGCAGAAAGCTGGCCTTCGATCCCTGGTCGATGATATATCTTTTTGTTGTTTCTGTGGATGACGCGTTCTGGTAAATTCGAGAACCCTGCTCCTTAATCGAGGTTAAACTGTTCTTCTCGGCGAACCTTGTGCGCCGATTGTTTCAGAAGCCTAGGCATGTACAGTGGTCATCAAATTTAATCGGAACGCGCGAACCACGGTTTTCCTGTTGGGAGTGCTATCCTGGCGGCAGTCGACAAAAACGGCTCCATGACGTGGCACGCGATGGAACAGTCAAGAAGACTTCGGCCAAGACGAGAGCGGCGCGAAGGGCCACTGCATGCTTATTCGCTTGGAATCGCTGAGGCACGCGCCTTGCGGCGGAGCAGGGAAGCAAACAATCTTCACTGTGCCAATCGTTCCGCAGGTTATCTATATCTCGCGAATTTTCGCTATTGAATTTTAAAACCTAATCACAAGGAGTATCGCCGTAGTTTGCTGAATTCTTACAGCACCAGCAGAACGAACATACTCGTCAACCCCTTTTTAATTAATATATCACATAATGGAGGTGCAGGCACTGTCGACCAAAGATGGCGAACTTTTCAGAGATCTGACCTTTGGTGAAATGTCATACCTGCTTATCTATTCTCTGTTCAATATATGCTCTTGAATGCGGCATTTTGTTTCGCCTATATTCATCAGTTACTCTCCGCATTGGGAAATCCGAAATATTTGATCTTATGCTCTTTTGCACGTGCGATGATCCCGCTACACAGGCCCATCGCGGGCACATAATTTGAGTTTATTAATGATATTCTTATTCTTATTATTATTATTAGTCTGAGTCTTCATTAACGCGCATGTTTACGCTTTTGTCACTCGTGCCTTGGCGCCTAGAAGGGGCGATACACTCCCGTAAAGAATAGAAAAGACGCCGGTTTCTTCGTGTTTTTTTGTTCGCTTGGTTGATTTAAAGCAACATTTGAAAACGAACCAAACTGGAATAGAGTGAATGATCTCCGACTGAAGGAGAGGCAGAGGAAGGGGGGTGGGGAAGTGAGGGCATTAATACTTTATGGACCCGCCTCGTTAGGTGATGACATCCCTCATTCTTCGAGGGAGAGATTGGAACAACAACGTCGGCAGCTGGTCATCTAATCGCAACATATGCCTCGCTCAGTGCAGCCCATCGGTCTGTTTTGAAGAGTCCTGCAAGTTCTTCTTGACGAGCGTTCGATTCGAGAGACTCCACACGTTCTCGATGACGTTCATGTTTGCGCCACCCGGGCGACATGGCAGCTGCCGGATTGCCGATTCGGAAAGGAAGTACTGGAGCTTCTTTGCACTGTGGACGGGACTACTGTCATGCTGGAGTCAAAATAGCCTATCAAGGAATGGTACGTCAAAGACCTATGGACGCAAGACCTCTCGCAGGATTTCGACACCTTTCGAGGCCGCAAATGACCCCTCAATCCTATGAAGAAGTCCCAGACCGGTGCTCGATGCGGAGCCCCAGACGAGAATAGAGGAGTGGCCACCGGCGGAAACCGTCCGAACGCATGGATCGTCATATCTAAAATCATAAACCCAAAC